CCTTTAGTCCACGCCTCTGCAATCTCTCCTCCGTGTGCTCCTTTGGATGGAATATGGGATTCTGATTTTTGTTTCAGCCTCGGCGTTTCCCTCATATGCGTCCTTGGAATCCTTGGGCCCGGCCAGCTCACCACACAGATCACTGCCACGGGAAGAACTCTGTACTATGTTCATAAAAGTATATTTAACCAGTAGTGACTATATTTGGACATTTTCCTAAAAGTTGTCTAGCCATTGCTTTTAAAGCTTGCAAAACATTTTGTTTTATTCTTTTGCTATGTCAGTAAATATGGTTCTTTGTCAGTTTGACCATTTGGTGACTTCCTTCTTTCCTTACTTACCGACTGGGAGCTGGGGAGTGATGGCTGAACAAGGCTTGGCTCAGGGGCTGCCTTCTTTCTGTTGGGTTTCCTCTGCTTCCTGGGAGGAGAGGTGGGATTCCCAAGTCAGACCCTATGGACGCTGTGGCAGGGGCCTGGGACGCGGAGAGGCTCTCTATCAGGAGGCTGGGAAGACATGGGTAGAGCTCCCTGGAGTCCAGCAGGCTCTGGACAGTCTTGTTATTTTAGCAGGCCTCTGTCCATGCTTCTCTGGAACGGGCTCTATCCTCTCCTCTCCAGGTCGTGCAGAAGGAGGTGGAATGAGGAGGCATTTTAAATCACTGATTTTCCTTCTCCTTCGGAGCTCCTAGATGAATATGCTGAGCATTCACAGTTCTAAAAGAAGTGGCTTAACAACTTTTAGAAAAATGTCCAAATATAGTTAGGATGATTAAATATATTTTTCTGAACACAGTTGATATTTAGCATTTCAAGTACAAATTTTTTTTCAGTTTATATTAATTTTTCTTTCAAAATTTCAAACATTTTCAGTTTGCCAGCATTCTAGCATCTAAATTTTAATATTCTTTGGATTTCTATCTAGCTTTCTTATCTTTCCTTTACAATTTTACATTGATCGTGAATAAATATCAAATTAATGTAAATAGCAAATTAATTACAAATCATCCAGTTCATTAAAGTCTTCTCCTCTAAAAAATCCTTACCTTTTTTCTATTGATTTGAACAGTTTTATATTCTTAAGTTTCCGCAAACTGCTACCCATCTTTCTGTTTCTGAAATTCTTGTTAGAAACCAAAATATCACCATTCTATCTCTGATAGGACTCTTGGCTAACTCTGACTGATTTCAGATACTCTTTAAATTTAACTTAAAATTTTAATTTAATGAAAATTCAATTTAGTTCTAATTGTAAATGAATTTTAATTTAATTTTGAATTTTTTTTATTTTACAATTTAAATTAGTTAAACTAAAAATCACTTGCTAAAAATGTAAATTAAGGCTGACATGCCATTTGGGGAATTGGTAAAATAATTCTAAATGTGCTTAAATTTGGAAAAAATAATTTCATACAAAGCATCTGAAAAGATCAAAAGTCACATACTGAACGCCAAAATTTAGGATGGAAAAAGCAGTTCATATTGCCATTTTCACTGAACTTATGATTTACCATCATTTTAGCATTTGATTAGAATTATTTTATCAGGTAACCAATCAAGCTTAGTTAAGCCAACATACAAAAGAACATACAAAAGAATTTATTTGATTACATGTAATCAAAAATAAAATATTTTTATTAAAATTGCTAAAAACTGCAGTTTGTAAATTTTAGTCATTCCACGAAGTGTTTATTTCACGAATTGATTTTTAGTGAATTGGTAGTTAAAAATTCAAACAAGAACCTCAATAATATTGGCAGCATTCATTGTAAATAGACAGTGAGGCCGCACTGGGCCGGATGTTCTGCAGTAATTGTCTTTCATTTAATCCAAACAACTTTTTGAGTTAGGTATTATTATTGTCATTTTACAGAGAAGGGATTTGAAGTTCAAAGGGGTTAATAACATCAATTGCCCCGGGGAGGAAGAATCAAGACTGTTTGTCTCAAGGGCCAGGTTGCCTAGTATAGTTCCCAAGCTGTGAAATGCAAGACGGAAACTACCCGTTTCTGCCCTAGATCTATAAAGATTGAGATGAGGAAAGAGATTGCTCCCACTTCACTGCCTGAATAGAAAGAGCTCAGCATTGCCAGATTGAAGCATCTGGGGCAAATAGCAGGAGGGCTGGGAAGGTTTCTAGCCAATTGCTCAACGAGTATGAATGGCAGTAGAGATGACATGGATGATGGGTCAGGTCTGGGCATCATCCGGCAGGGGGGCGAGACATTGACTTCTCCTGCCAGTGGCTGCAGCTCCACATCCAGCGTAGTCAGCTGCCCGCTGGTCTCTGGCTCCTCAGCAAAGTTCTCCACTTTTTCCCTGTAAGGCCATTAGGTCTATTAGCTACAAAGGAATGGGCTGTTGCTCCAAAATGCAGCCTGGAACTGGTTTCTCTCTGGAACAATGCTGGTCAGCCTTGCACGGCTGGAAGGAAAGTGAGAAGGTCTCTTATGACCACAGAGCATAGAACTGAAGGGCATGTGCTCAGGTCTGGATCAAGGGATCCAGCTGTAGAGGTCATTTCAACAAAAGGGATGCACATGGGATGGTTTTAACTGTGTCTAGCAGGCTTTCATTTGGATAGATTGGAATGAGATGTTTATGGGCTGACATGTCATATGAGCCTTAGCTCTTTATTAATACCAGCTAGCAAATATTGCTCTTCGTCCCTTTCCTGTCACTTTCTATAACGGCCACGGCCAGCCTGGAGTGATTATTCTGAATTTTTACACTCTGGTGACAGATCTGGGTGTAACGAGTGATTTTATGTCCTCTGTCACACTTGCCACACACAGGCTGCTTCTCCTTTCCCAGTGCAGCTTCAGGAAGAATAGGGCTTGAGAAGGAAGGGAAAGGGGACTAGAAAGATTTCCCTTTCTTTCTGCTCAGGATGGCATGACACCATATCTATCAGATTATTTTTCTCTTCCAATCTCTCATCTCATACCCTTCTCAGATTGAATGTCTCTAGTTAGTGAGGTGGCAAGTTTATATATATATTTTATAGTTTATTATTTTTAAATTTACAATTCAGTGATTTTTAATATATTCACCAACTTGTACAAGCATCGCCACTATCTAATAACAGGACATTATCACAACCCCCCAAAAAAATTCTGTTCTCATTCTCCTCCCTTCCCAAGTCCCTGGCAACCATGAATCTCTTTTCTGTCTCTATAGATTTGCCTGTTCCGGACAGTTCATAAAAATAGAATCACAACATATGGCCTTTTGTGACTGACTTCTTTTACTTAGCATAATGTTTTCTATGTTCACCTATGTTGTACCCATGTCAGTACTACATTCCTTTGTATGGCTGAATAACATTCCATTGTATAATTACACCACATTTGTTATCCATTCGTCAGTTGATGGAAATTTCAGTTGTTTCCACTTTTTAGCTGTTATGAATAATGCTGCTATAAACATTCATGTACAGGTTCGTGTGGACAAAAGTTTCATTTCTCTTGGGTGTCTACCTAGGAGTGGAATTGTTGGATCATACGGTACTCTCCATTGAAATTCCCGAGGAAGTACCAAATCATTTTCCCCAGTGGCTGTACCATTTTACACCCCCACTAGCAATGGTACATAGTGAAGCAAGATAACAAATTAATGCCAAGTCAGGCAAGTAAGGATTTGAAACTAGAAATGGACAATGCCATTAGTGTGTGAGAAAACAATGAAAAAAATACTGCAGTTAGTGACTGCAAGGCTAGAAATGAGATGGTGTTGCTTAAAAGGAGAAATGAGAAAACATCTCAATGCATTGCATTTCAGTGAACAAAGTGTGATTTATACAGACAACACTAAGCTAGAAAGCTGCTTTCTACATGCAAGAACAAGACACTAGGAGAAGAAAGGATATCCTAAAATATTCAAGGAAGCATTTTTTTCTGTCAACCTGAGAGATAACAATAGGGGGTTGAGGAAGAGAGCTTTTCAATGTTTGTAGACTATTTTTGTTTTTGTCAAAATTCTTTAGATGAACAAAGGAAATCAGTATAAACGATGGAGATCTCTGATCCACTTAGGAAATGGAAAACAATGTCCAACAGTAAGAGTTGGACGGATCCAAATTGATACAGAAGTCGTGGAAAATTCCGTCACCTTCTGATATTTACCCCCTCTGAGACTACAGGAGAGTGTCTACTCCTAACATCCACTCAGTGGAACACTGAGTTGGAATGATTTAATCAAATACACTAGTCAAATTTTTTACCCCCATATCCAGGAGAAGCAATCTTTCACAGTGGTTCTATTCACGTTTAGGATCTTCTGGAAAAGAGACATTTCCTGAGGTAAATATGGAGAAAGCTTGATCAGAATTACCTATAGGTATTTTGGTAGCTCTGGGGCATTAATCTTAGCCATCAGGATGTCCTTCATTAAGTCCCAGAAGTTAATAGGAATTAATACAGTAAGTAAGACCTATGATCGGAACACGATTATGTCCCCAGTTAGGACCATAGGGATGGTTTGCCGGATGACAACTGAGCTTCTAGCTCTCGACCCTGCAGATTAGAAACGTATTAGAACTCTTTCTAGTTACTTTCAGAGCCCATTTTTGCATCTGCCGCACATGGCTTTCCATAAACCTTTCACAAAATTCCACTATATTTGCACTTACCACCCATGTTTGTTGAGACAGGGTTTCACTACATGTTAGGGAGTCCTGAGATACCAATGGCTTAAACGAGATAGAATTTTATTTCTTCCAAGTCAAGTCCAGAGGTGCACACTGCAGGGTTGATACGGCAGCCTGATCCAAGGTGTGCTCAGGGACTCGGCCTCGGCCCCCCTCACCAGGCTGCCTTCCCTCGTGGGTGCCCTTATCCTCATGGTCCAGCCGTCTCGGTTCCAGGTGGTAGAAAGGAGGAAGGGATGAAGAAGAGCCGCAACAAGCAGGCCGCCTCGTTCGTAAGGAGTATTACGGAAGCTGCCAGAGGAAACTTCCGCTTACATCTCATTGGCCAAAACATAATCGTAATCACACGACCACACGCAACAGCAAAGGAGGCTGGGAGATATGCAGTTTTAACGTCCCAAACAATTTGCCCAGCAGCAAAATGGAGGTTTCCATTTTAGTAATTTATTTCAATAACGAATATTGGGGGACAGACTACAGTATTTGCCACGCCACATTTTAGAAGTAAAATATTAGTCTGTACTGTGTAGTGCGATTCTTCCTTTTAGTTCCCCCACGCTTACCTCTTTTGAACCTCGGTGCCGCCTCCTACTTCTAAAATAACTGGCTTGATACTGGTTAAGAAGGAACTTAAAGGTCCTTGAGAGCTCTGACTGTGGAAGTGGGAACCAGATAGGGCTCGAGTTAACAGTTAACTTGGGGTAACGAGGTTTCCTCTAACTGTCACACTATTATTACTGAATGGCTATGCCCACCCTTGGTGTATTCTTCCTGTGATTATCAACTCTAGTTATTTAACTTTTAACAAATTATCACATTTGACTACTCAGCAAATCATCTTTCCAAACAGGTTCCTAAACTTTGTTGTCTATGTTTACGTGACAGGCATCTCTGCATCACTATGAACACTTGGGATGCTCGCCTTCGGACCTTCTGAAGCGAGGGTGGTTCTTTGGTAAGTGTTAGAACTGAGTGAATAAATCTTGCCTCAATGGAGAGAGAGAGATCCCTTGGATAATCAAAATTCCGCAATGGTTTGACCAGCTTATGGATCATTGAAAGGAAATACTCTCTGTGGCCAAAGGGATGGAAATTGATAATGTCATTTACAATGTGAGACTATAGTTAATAATATTGTATTGTATATTTGAAAGTTGCTAAGAGAGTAGATCTTAAAAGTTCTCATCACCAGAAAAAAAATTATAACTATGTGTGGTGATGGATATCAACTAGACTCATTGTGATGAGCATTTTGCAATATACACATATATCAAATCATTATGTTGTACGCCTGAAACTAATATAATGTTATATGTCAATTATATCTCAACAAAAAATAAAATAAAATGTGGGAATATAATTATAGGAAAAGTTGATAGTGAAACATTATAAATGTTGAAAGGAAATTTTGCTCCAGCTGCCAATTAAAGTAGGCCACCAAGTTAAGAAAGAAAATAGTCTGTTTAAACTATATAAATGTAAGAAAGATAGATATTTTAAGAGCCGAATTATTGTTTAAAATTACCCCTTCCAAAGTTTTTATTTTATAGATGAGGTTACTGAGATGCAGGGAAGTGAGCTGTAAATGCTCATGAAATTAATTATAAATCTCTTGGGAAAATAATTTCTATTTTTGCCATTATTGAATAATAGTTACCTGTAAACATAAGATTTTGTCAGATTCTCACAGAGACAAATGATTAAAAATAATGTAAATTATTGATTAATGGAAAAAAGTTATTAATGTAAACCTTGGAGCAAATCCCTAAACTCCTAAAAACTAGGGGAAATAATTATCTTTAAATATGACATAGTTCAGAGGGTGACACTGACATTTAAATATAATATGTCCTATTTGTGAATGCAAAAGAGCCAGTCAATATTTAAGTATGGCTGTCTAACTACTTACATTTGAAGGCTAAAAAACAAAAGCAAACCATAGGGTTTTTGTTTATTTTTTGGTCATTTATTTCCTACACACTTAGCTTTTCATAGTTTGGTGGGCAAGATGTAAAATTTTTGGTGAAATATAATGAGGAAATCCACCAAAATAGCCATCAGGGCTGAAGCCAGGGCATCTATTAGCTAACAATTATAGGTTGTATTTAGTCCTGCTTATTTCTCCACTAGCTGATTCCTTTCAATAGATTCTTCCAAAAGAGAGTTTTGAAAATATTTCTTCTGCTTCTTTTAGTTAAGGAGTGTTTCCTTTCTTGCTTTTGTTGGATAATGAAGAAAACAATCACTATCTTCTGCTTGATAAACAAGAACACACAAAATCTAACCACAAAGCTAAAATAATCGCTGACCTGTCATCATTTCTGCATCTTCCACAGAATGACCTTCTGCCTGAGAAGTTCACCAATTCCTGTCATAGCTTCATATCCCTGATCAATGTGCTCAGAAAAGAGCAGATGTGACCCCGGACACTGCACTGCAGACGTGGGTACTGGTTTTTTTAAAAGGCACCTCTGTCAACTTTGTTCCCGTGGACATTCATCTTTCCTTAAAATTTCTAAATTAAAATTGAAGGCTTTATGGAGATTTACTATCATTATAAGGTGATATTAAAATATGATAGCCTTTAAAATGTATCACCACACTCAATAAATGTTACTGGGCTGGGAAAGTAAAGCAAAAAACAAAGAAAATATATGAACAGAAGGGATTCTGTAGGATTTGTAGTTGATTTGTTCATTCCTTCTCTCTCTTCTCCTCTTTCTCTTCCCTCCTTCCTTCTTTCCTTATTTCCTTCAGTCTTAGAAACTAGTTACTGAAAATCTGTTACGTGATGATGTAATGTCAGGACGTGCTCCAGCAGCATCTCAAATGCTGGAAAGGATTAATGTGAGGAACAGGCTGGCAGCCTGCTGAAGTCATTTAAAAGACAGCAAATGCTACGGAATAAACAAGCAAAAATGAATGCTAGTTGGTTATTAAAGTAAAATTTCTTACTTAATTGAAGACTGATATCACTTGAACTAAATCTGACTACAGAAGGGCCATCTTCCCGCTAAGTGCAGAGAGAAGAGTTGACATTGCATTTTGTATAGTTGTGTATGGAGATGGCTTATGTCACTCTGTCTTGATACCCTTTTTCACAGAATCATCATGCGAACTCAGACATGATTCAAATCCAGTCAGATCTTTACGCAGAGATTAAGAATCACAAAGTCTCTATTATTAACTAGATTTTGGATGTGAGTATTTCATTGTAAACCTCCTGGATCCATTGCCTTTCCAGCCAATCTGGGTCAAGACCTCTCAGCTGCCATGTGCTTTCCCCAGGTTTCCCGGGTTTCTAATCTCCAGCTAGCTCTGTTCTTCAGCTGCTTTTTGACTGGTAATGAGTAACTGGCTGGCTTACTTGCAGACTTTATACACAAAAGTACAAGAAACCTGACATTCTTGGTGGACGGATTCAATTAATTATCTCCTCTAAACTTGTTCTCCCCGCTGGACTTGTTCTAATAGGTGTTTTTGTCCTCACTATTTATGTCTGGGGTTATATGGCACCATGGATATTGAGTTTCTCTCTCTCTGGGGCCTCAATCATTGCCTGATAGGGGATGATCAGATCATAATGATTATTTCAGGCCCTTTCTCCTCCGGCTGTGCCTTACCCGAGAAACAGCCCAGAGGGTCTCAGAGTTAAATCGCTTCTTCGAGCCACCTTCTGGGGCAGCTTCTTCAAGTAGAAAAAATATGAACCTTTTAAGTGAAGTTTGGCCTCATTGATAAACACGGGATTCGCATCTTCCCGTTCTGGTGGTTGCCTGCTCAGATAATCTTTCTTTATTGTGGTGGTTTTAATGACTCATTTTTGTTCTAAATTTTTTTCTCTCTAAAGAGCAATAAGTGCACATAGTAAAAACTTCAAGCAGTACAAAGTATATATAATAAGTCTCCTTGTACCCCTTGAGACCCAGTCTACCCCTTGAGACCCAGTCTACCCCTTGAGTGCTCCAGTGTCTAAAGCTGCCCGTCACACAGAGAAAAAGTTCCATTTCTATAGCCTGTGATTAAAAACTGTCAGGATCTCTCCATGATCTCTTTCCCTCAGTTTTTTCCTACTCCAGGCACATACCCTCTGCTCCAGCCGTACTTGCTATAGAGTTTCTCTTCCTTTTTTTAACTTTATTGAGATAACTTTGACATAGAAAAATTATATATATTTAAGGTGTTTAACTTGATGTTTTGATATACGTATACATTGTGAAAAGATTACCACAATCAAGCTACATTACTTACCCATGACCTCTACATAGTAATTAGCTTGTGTATGTGTGTGTGTGGTGAGAAGACAATTTAAGATCTACCCTCTGAGGAAACTTCAAGTGTATAACACAGTGTTGTTCACTATGGTCACCATGCTGTATATTATATCTCCTGCACTCTTTCATCTTGCATAACTGAAACTTTGTACCCTTGACCAGCATCTCATCTCTCCTATCCCTGCCAACCACTGTTCTACTCTTTGCTTCTAAGAATTTGACTATTTTAGATTCTAAATATAAGCGAGATCATGCACTGTTTGCCTTTCTGTGTCTGGATTATTTCACTGAGCATAATGCCGTCCAGTTTCTGGATGAGGCCTGGGTCTTTGCTTGTGGACACCCTGTCCCTGGGTCTTTGCTCTGGTGGTCCGCTCTGGTGGAGAGCCCTTCATTCTCCTATGAAGCTTGCCCCACCTTCCAGGCCCTATTCAGGTTTTCATTATCACTGACTTCCTTGTATTCGCCTCACATATTTGTCTCCACTACTAAACCATCAGATCTAAGAGGGACGGAGTCCAGAAACCTGGGCTCTATGCTCAGCTCAGCCATTAATAATTGTGTGGCCCAGAGAAAGACAGGAAGCCTCCCAGGGCCTGGTTTTCTCATCTGTTACAACATTTTTGAAAACAAAGAGCCAACTCCTACAAGACTCAAGAAGAGAGCAGTAACTCACGCTGCCTGTATGTTCTTAAAGTAGGGAGAGAGATTCTCTCTTCTCTATATAGATGAAAATAAATATTTGAAGTAAATAAATTAGTTTACTGTTGTCCTGTGAGAAATACAAGCCTAGTGGAAAAACAAAGAATGTGTTTATGGAACTATATGAGCTAAACTGGTTATTATAAATCTGAGTGGTTAATAAGAAATTCCAACGTCCATGGAATGTTTACTTAATGTACTAAGACCCTCCGTTCAAGCAGATAACTTGCAAGTTGATTGAATTCATGAACTTTTATTGGTGGTCTTTCAAATTAAATAAAATCCTTTGCCTTTTCTTGAAGTGTTGCTTCTAGCAGGAGCTATGTCTTATGCACTATCAGGGAGGGACTGTGAAGAGCTTGTGACCTTATTTCACAGTTAAAATACTCAGACCATAATCACTAAGATGTCCTTCTAGGAAAGAATTTCATTTAAATCCAGCTAAAGTAGACTTTAATATTCATAAAAGGATAGAATTGTTCTCCGAATAAATCTATCATGGAAAGTGTTGTGGCAAGTATGAATAAAGCCAAGGAGCTTAATATTTTAATGGAAATTTTTCTTCCAAAGACTAGAAATAAAAATAGAAAAAATTTAACCTTTCAGGTCATGGAAATGAACTCATAAAATTCTCAGACCACAAGTGTTAAGGTATCTTCACAGAAAAAGAGGAAATAAAAAGAATCATAAGAGTTTTTCGGTCTAACTTTGTGCAAGTAATTTTGAAAACCTGGATAAAAGAAAGAATATTTTGAAAAATGTAATCTACCAAAACTCAACCAAAGATGAAAAATCTAGGCAGACAGATTTCCAAAGAAGAAATACAGAAAGTAGTCCAAAAGTTGCTTTTATTCCTTTCAATGTTTTCCTAAGGGAATTCTAGAAAACCTTTAGAGAACATATTATTCTAATGTTATTTAAATTTTTTCAGATCATAGTAAAAAAGGAAAGTCCCTAAGTGCATTTTATGAAGTGAGTATAACATTAACACCAAAGGAATGATAAGATCACAAAGAAAACTACAGACCAATCTAATAAAGAACATAATCCAAATAAAATATTAGCAAATCAAACTCAGTAGTTCCTTAAAAGAATAGTAAATCATTACCAAGTGGATTTATTCTAGAAAGGTAAGTTAAGTCAATATGTTGAACTGTAAGTCATCATTTTATAGGGTCAAGGAGAAAAAGCATGTGATCGTTGTAAACAATGTGAAAAAAATCATTGACCCAGCATCATGTTTTATGGGAAAATGCAAGAAGCATTTTGTTGAAGTCAGGAAAAATTAAATAATGTCCACTGACACATTGCAATTTGACATTGGACTGAAATATTAACCAATGCATTTAAGAAAAGAAAAAGAAATTAGAAATTAAAAAGAAAGAAAAAGAAATTAAAAGGGGAAGTTAAGATAATCTTTTTTAAAGATTTTATTTTTTTTTCCTTTTTCTCCCCAAAGTCCCCCGGTACATAGTTGTGTATTCTTCGTTGTGGGTTCTTCTAGTTGTGGCATGTGGGACGCTGCCTCAGCGTGGTCTGATGAGCAGTGCCATCTCCGTGCCCAGGATTCGAACTAACGAAACACTGGGCCACCTGCAGCGGAGCGCGCGAACTTAACCACTCGGCCACGGGGCCAGCCCCAAGTTAAGATAATCTTAACTGAAAATACTATTTCATACTGAAAAGTTGCAAGATAACTAAACTGTAAAACTACTTCAACAATAAGGAAATTTAGTAATACAATAGGGCACAAAATAAATAATGATAAATCAATGGGCTTTATGTATAAATAAGAGGAGATAGAAGAACAGATTTCATTTGCAGTAGCAATAAAAAAAAGAAGAAAAATTAAAAAGCATTATGAGAAACCTACATGAGAAAACATTCTGAACACTTTGGGGGCCACAAAATAATACTTGAAGAAATTAGAAAATACTCCATTCTTCAATAGGTACATTTATCATATGAGTGTCGGTTCTCCCTAAGTCAGTTTGCAAATTTAGTGTGATCCAGTAAAAAGGCCACCTGCTTTTTTTTGGTTTCTTTTTTTTACAATGGAAGGATAAGATCTAGTGGAGGTGAAGCTCAAGTTCATTTTGAAAAAGAAACATACCTCGTGCATATACGAAGATAAATTACTCTGAATCAATCAATGTTTTAAATGTAAAAAATCAAACAATAAAAATACAAGATAAAAACATGAGTAAACTCCTATAAAAGAGGAAGGTCTTTCTAATTATAGATGCAAATCCGTAAGCCATAAAATAACAGATTGTAAAATTCAACTACATTAAAAAAGAAAAATCTTTTGCATGGGGTAAAAATATCATAAGCAAATCAAAAAGAGAGACAAGCTGGGATAAATGATTTGTAACTCAGATCACAAAGGAAAGGCTCACCTCCCTCTTCCATAAAAATATCGTTGAAATAAATAAGAAAATTTCTATTAAACAAGTAGAGAAAAAATAGGCAAAAGATACGAACAGATAGTTTAGTATAGGCAATATAGACAACCTTTAAGTTTGTAAAAAGATGCTCATTTGTACTTAGAATAAAAGAAATGCTAAT